CAAAGAGCCATCAAAGACACGATTTGCAGAACTTAGTGCCCTAATTCCCTTTTGTGACAGCTCATGTACAGAGCAGCTTGGGTTTGTCATGCCCCTGTGAGCCAGTGGGACGATGATGGATCCACCAGCTCCACCTGAGCATCACCCAGGCAGGAATCAGAGCCATACCTCACAACCTCAGGCTAACTGCATTTACCACCCTGCCATTAAAAAATTCCCTTTTGATTTAGGAGTGTGGGGTTTAGGAGGAGTAGCATTTCTGCCTCTCCCTCTGTGACACCCAAACCACAATTAAACACCCAGGGCTGCCATTCCCCTTTCCCATCCCACTGCTCCATGCACTGTGTGGGGGATTTAACAGCAGCAGCAGCAGCATCTTACAGCCCTCATATTGCTGGGGCCTCCCCAGAGGGCAATATCCCCTTCTCATTTGTAGTTACAAGGTGAGCACATTTCAGCAGAACACTCTCAGTCCTCGCTGCACTGAGCAATCACTCAGAGCTGTCTGGCTATACTGATAAAGATATTTCTGCCTGGATTTAAACATAACTGAGGTGGGGAGGGTGGGATGAAAGCTCAGCTGAGGGAGGAGCTGCTCAGTGACACACAGCAGCCCCACAGCCCTCGTGCTCAGGTAGGGCCCCACAAAGCTGAGCACAAAGCTGAGCTCCAGGCTCGGCTTTGGAGCAGGAACAGCCTGGTTTTGGCAGCACGGAGCCCTCACAGGGTAATTAGCCCTCACAGGGTAATTATCCCTCTCAGCTCCAGGGGCAAACACCGGGCCTTGAACAGCTGCAGCTCCAAGTCACAGTTTTCCTGATTATTCCCTTGCCCTTCCTGAACAGATGGGGTTTATTCAAGGGATGACTCACCTGGACTGACAGAATGAATCTAAATATTCTTCTGTCAAACTGCAGCCCACCCTCAGGAAGCTCCCAGAAAAGCCTCTGGGCTCACCCAGGTGATCAGGGAACCTTTTTGCTCCCCAGCTCTCACCAGCTCCTGTTAGCTGAGCACAGGAATATTCTGGTGTTTTTAATGTTCCAGCTTCGTGGATCACTTTATTTTACAGATGGAGTACCTTAAAGTTTCTTAATTGCCTTAAAAATGCTTTTTATTAAAGTCAGCTGAAAGCAAAAGTACAAAAAGAAAATCTACCACGTTCAAAGCAGACCAGCCAGTATAAAAAATCCTGCATAAGAGGTTTGATGTTGTTTACAACAAACACCACACAGCACAAAGTACATTTTTCTTCCTTTCTGTATGTAAGGCTGAGATAATGACCATCTCCACCTCCAGAGAGACCTAAGTTACAGACCCTGCAATCTCCTTTTATACCTCTTCAGCAATTAGCTGGAGTGATTTCAGCCCCAGCTGAGCCCCTGAGCCCTCCCAGGTTCCCCAGCCCTGCCTGGAGGAACATCCCCAAACCAGCCTGGAAACTGCTGCATGCCCTCTGGCTGTCTGAGTGTCTCCATCGCCCAGGCAGAGTCAATAACCACCAGTAATCAACTCGACCATCACTGAATTATTCAGCTGGCAGCAGGGCAGAGCCCCCACCCTGCACAGAAAATGTTTGTGTCAGAGCAGTGCCTCTTCCATGGGCTGCCAGGAGTCAAATCCCTGAAAATTCACTGACCTGGATGACAGAAAATCAGTGCAAGTTGTTAAATGGGCAGCACTCACCCACTCTGGGGTGATAATTTCAGAGAATCTGGGCTGGTTTGGGTTGGGAGGAACCTCAGAGCCCATCTCATTCCATCTCCAGCCTTCCACAAGGCCAGGCTGATCTAACCCTGCCCAACACCCACAGCCTCTCTGGACACAGCCCTCATCCCATCTGCATGAGCACAATTTAAAACAATCCCCCGATGCCCTGTTCTCTGAGGATTCAGGATGAAAATCTCCTGGGGAGCCTCAAACCTCATTTTGGGGATGTTTCTGAAAACATTTCTTTTTTCCTTCCCCTTGTTTTAAATTCCCACTCTGAGGTTACTTTTACAAGTTTGATTGGACTACAACCAAAAAAAAAAAAAAAAATCACAAACTGAAAGGCCTGTGCTCCAGCCAGCTCCACTCTGCACTTTAATTGCTTTAAAGCAGAGGCCATGTGTTGTGTTCTCTCAGGGGTATGTGGGAAGGTGAAATGAAAGTGAGTGAAAGGAAAAAAAAATACTTTATAAAACATCAGCACTTAGAGGGAAATGAAATAGAGCTGCTCCAGAGAAGATCAACAACATGAAGACAACTCCCAAGGACAACCTTTCCTGCAAGCACATCCTTCCAGCAGAGCCCTGGTTCATAATACATCACTGAGAGGGTTTGCAGCTTCAGGGGATGGACATCTCCCCACCAAAAACCTTTCACAGGGGTTAAGACATCACTTTCCAACCTCCTGAACAAATTAACCTCCCTGCTCACACGCTGTATTTTTCAAGTCTCTACTTGGTGATTTCTGATGAGATTCCTGAGGTTATGACTTAAAAGTTGCACTCCATATTTCATTTCCAAGCAGCCTGTCCCTGGCTGCCAGATTTATTATTCCAAAAGCTGGGCCTGTACATCTTGTGCTCCAGGAAGATATAAAATATTCTGAGAGAGCTTTCCCCTCCCTTGTGAGCTGCTGTGAGTACCCTCAGCTCTGCATTTATAGATCAAGAACATTTTAGTATAACATGGGTGAGGCCCTTGCAGGCTTTGCCATGTCCATTTCAGACTTCACATGTTCTGAGCAGCATTCCTGGCTTTTCTCATGCTGATAAATTATTTTTTAGATCCCAGGAGCTGGGGTTCATGTCCTTCAGGGGTTTGTGGGCACTTCTGCTGGAGCCAATGACAGGTCACGCTAATTCCTCGGCACTGCACCAAACAGTGAATCCTGGACACAGAATTTCTGCCACACGAGACCTCCAGGAGTGATGGACTCCTTTGATCTTGCCTTTTTTTAAAACACAAAAGATGTCCCTGTGTGCAACTGAGCTGAACCCAAATGACAGAGAGCGAGACACATCCATCACATCACTCAGCCCCATGGAGCTGTTTTGTTCCATTGAAACTCAGAGAGACAGGAACTTTCCAACAGCCCTGAGCACTATTTGCTTTTACTGCTCGTTATGTCACGTGAACTTGGTTTCAACTCTTTACAGAAGGTTTTCTAACTCCAGGGCAACTAAAAATTAAAAAAAAAAAGGAAAAAAAAAAAAAAGAGAAAAAAAAGAAAGGCATCAAAGTAATTTGGAGAAGATCAGAAGACAGAAAAATGGGAGGGGGATGCAAGCGGAGGATCTTTAAGGTTTCCAAACTCTCCCAGGATTCTGGGATCCCACATCCCCTGGAGGAGAAGGGGCTGGTTTGGAGCAGGAGGAAGTGATGGAGAATCCCAGAGAGGGTCTGTGCACATGGCAAAGCACCAGGCTAGGCTGTGGTTTCCCAAAAGCACCTTGTTTCCTATGAAACACCATTCCTTGCCTTTCAATGAGCAGATCCAGAATTATGAGAAGAAACAGGGACTCATTTTGGGTAAGTTGAGGATCTGAAACGTGGGGAGTTGGGCCTCCCTCCCTCCATGGTTTGTTACTGCACTCCAGTGCACAGACTTTTAAAATCAACTCCTAGGAGGACACTTTAATGAATAAACTAATGAAAGCATAATACTTAACCAAAACCATTTACTCAATTGAAAGACTAAAACCCTTTGCATTTTTCTCATCTGCTCTGTACAGCAGTTATTTACAATTTTCATTTATTTATATTAAAATCTCATTAAAGACACACACCATATTGGACCTGACAGACTGCCATGTATTATTTCCAAATTCCACTTAAATGAAAAAGCAGGGAGAAGACTTAACACCGAGCAACTTATTTGAATTTACTCAACACTGAGGAGCTTGACAAAAAAAGGGGGAATGGGGACAAAGCTGTGCATGGCTGGAAAGAGTGAACACTAACCCATCTCCATGGAAAACAAAGGAATTCATCCCAGCTCTACAAAACTGGAGATTGGGACCAAAAGCTGATCTTTTTCCAATTTCAGCTTTAATGCTGTAAAAGATCCAGCCCACACTCTGCAATAGAAAACTTTCTTTTTCCTTTTGACTTCCTTTCTTCTTTCCTTTCAATTTTTTTTCCTTTTTATTTTTTTTCCCCAAAAGAAGATTGCTGCATTGCAACTGTCTGTACCTGCTAACACTTTCATGCTTTGTGATGCACCACTGTGATATTTTGGGCAAAACCTGCATGAACCAGAGCAGTTCCACAGCCTGAAGAGTCCCAGTGTCAGGGAATTCAGGAGACCCCAGCACAGACACCTCTGCAACAGAGACTTCTTTACTGAAATACCTGAATTTGACATTTAAAAACCCAATCTTGCTTCTCTTACACTGCAGCAAAGTCTCTCAGATGGGAAGTGGAGAGGAGACAGCCAGAGCAGTTTATGGGTTTTAGCATCACCAATTTGCTGAGCTCATGCTCAAACTAATATATTTTAATTCATCCGAAGATAATTTTTTTTTCAAAAAACAGCATATCCAGGAGGCAGATTAAGCCAAAAGGCAGAGAAAGCAATAAAAGATTACCTTTGGTTTACCCCTGTTCTGCAAGGGCTTTTGCTGGCAGGCAGATAAATCACAGTTTGTTTAAAGAGCTACTGAGCATTCCTGCTCTCAGGACAGAGCTGTTATCCTTGCTGAGACAGCTCCACCTCTGCAACATTAATTTCAGCCATTCCAGCTCATGATTCACAATGGTTAAATAAAAGAACACACATTTGCAGCCTCTGACCAGAGCAGCAAAACCACTGAAACACCAACAATTTAAACAGGAGCATCACCTGATGTGACACAAGGCAAAATCACCAAGTTTTTACTGGAGCTTACAGCTGGCTTGTCCTCCCTGTCCTCAACAATTTATCATAGCAATTACCCATTAAAGGCATTGCTATTTTCCATGTTTTCCCTGTCTCTGTGTGCAGCAAACATGATTTTATAACAGCAACTCACCAGGGGAGTGTCCTTGCCCCCGACGATGCTGAGCCCCAGCCCTGAGCGCCCCTTGGAGATCTCTATGGTCATCTCCTGCCCTGGCACTATGGCACAGGTGGCTGGATCCACAGGCAGAGCAGCTGGGAAGACACCTGGGAACATCACAAGGGCAAGGAATCAGTCACACAGCGCAGCAAGAAAACGAGAACCTCCAAAATTAGCTGTGCGACAACCGCTAATTTAGCTCTTTGTTTTTGCTCTTCACCTTCATAAAATTGAACTAAAGGGCCACTCTGAGTCACTTCTGAAGTCTCTAAACCAGAGTGACTTGAGTTCTGGGAATAAATGCTGCCAGTAAAAGCCAGTGAGGACACCTAATTCAGTTTTCATCTCTGCAATTCTGATCATGATGGAAAGGGGTATTCCTTTCAGGAGAGGTAAAACCACATTGCAGCACCATAGAATGAACAGCATGTCCCAAACTGTCTATTCTTCTACTTCAATCGAAAACAAGATCATCTTTGTATGTGAAAGTCAAGAAAAACAAGTGAAGACACCTCCAAAAATTGTGAACTCCATCCCCTCTCAAAAATTGTGACAGAAGAGCAAAATACAAACACGTTATAAAATAACTGAGAATAGATCATTAGATGCTCAAAGAAACAAAACTTCAGCAGAAGTTATGTGGAAAACAAAATGAAAACACCCAATTTGGGTCAGGGTAGTAAAAATACACCACATTATGGCAAAATGTCTGGTTCCTACCACGGCTGGGGGCTTCTGGCTCTGGAGGGAGGTGAGGAGCTGCTGGCTCCAGGGGTGACTCCTGGCAGCTCCCTGGGGCTGCTGTGGAAGGTTTGGGCTGCTTGACCTGGCTGAGGACCTAAAGGCAAAGCAGAAGCAGGAGAGATCAGTTCTCAGCCACCATGATGTGCTGAGGTCACTGTCATCAGCTGTTGATCATTAAATCTCCCAAATCAATGGGAGGACAACACATTTAAAGAGGAGCCAGTCATTTTTTTACATTTCCATCAATGAAATTATTTTAATGTCTTCCCAGTTAATCCCTTCCCCTCAAGAATCACTCAGTCTTTAACCAAACCAAGCCTTCAGAACCCTCCCTTGCTGGTTTACATGAAGACACAGACATTTTCCTGGACACACATTTTCCTGGACACACATTTTCCTGGACACACATTTTCCTGAACACACTTACATTTTCTGGGAGCTGCTCCTCTGCCTCCTGCTCATCTGCCACCACTGGTGTGTCAGCTTTACACTTCAAATCCTAAAAAGTAAAAAAAAGAAAACAAGATGTCTTGGAAATGTCTCATTAGCTTCAATAAAATACCTTCCAAAACTCAGAATGATGGTTCCAGGGAAGTGCAGTGATGTTTTGGAGGGACAGGACACAGGGAATGGCTTCCAGAGGGATGGATGGGATATTGGGAAGGAATTCCTGGCTGGGATGGAATTCCCTGATTTGCTGTGGCTGCCCCATCCCTGGCAGTGCCCAAGGCCAGGTTGGACACCCTGGACAATGGAAGGTGTCCCTGCCATGGCAGGGGTGGCACTGGGTGGGATTTAAAGTCTCTCCCAACCCAAACCAGTCAGGGATTTTAGGATTTCTCCATGAAAATCCATTTGTACCACCAAGCAAAGCTGAAGCCCAAAGCCCAAATGAGGCAAAGCTGCTGTGAGCCCAGGGAGTATCAGGAGTCAGTTATTAAAATATCAGGAGTTATTGCAATCTCAGCCCTGAGCTCTGAGGGCACGCAGGGCACAGCAGGGATTACCACAGATGCTCTGGAATGGCTGGGACAGCAATTCCCAGGCTGTGTGCAGGGACCCCTCAGTGCCCACAGCAGGAGGGGTCCCAGTCATCTGTTCTCTCTTCCCCCTCATTTTTTGGCTCTCCTACATAAAGCAACTGCTTCAAATGCACCCTCCAGCCCCATTACAAAGATCTCCAACAATGGTACTTCAATCACTGGCTCCACTTGTAGCCTAATTTATTTCTCTTCCTTTGCAATACACAAAAATATATTTTAATATCCTACTTTTACAATTGTTTCCAGACAGGTAAAGTGCCCTCCCTTATTAGCTCTTCATTTTGATTCAAGTAATAGTTATTTTTTTAACCCCTATTAAAAACTTCTGATCAACAGCCTAGCTTGCAGAAAAACTAAGTGCCAACTTCCAAAGATTACCTCAAACCTTTTTCAGATATTCAAAAGTTATTCTGCATCTCAGAAAGAATTTCTAATTAAGGTGACAATTTCTACATTAAAAAAAGTAAACAGAATTGTTTCATCTTGGAAGTGCTGGCCTTGTTTGCTGGAGTTTTATTATGCTAAAAGAACCCAACCCCCACAGGATTTTTTCTTTCTCCCCTTGATTTTTTCTCCAAGCTTGCTGTAACTCTGCAACGGCAACTATTATCCAAAAGGATAACAGGAAAAAAAGACAAAGGGGTGATCTCATTGTATTATCAGAGGTGTCAGGGGAGGAATGGGAGACTGCTCTGTCATCTTCTGAGAGATTGTTTTAATGAGCAATGAAAAATTACTTCATACTTCCCTTTTTCATTGTGGTATGTGACTAAAATCTGAGGCTTCATCTTGCACCACAAGCAAGCACCACCTTCACATCTCCCTGATCTTTTAACTGTGCTAGAGGAACCTGAGCAAAATGAGCACCAAACACACTCAGCATTTGTCAAAAGCCTGCAGCCCAACTGGTTTAATCAAATTCAACCCTCAGCTCCATCCAAAAGCACTTTTACACAGCCCCTCCTCTTTGCCAGGGTTTCAAGGATTTGTTTTCTGTTTTTTTTTTTGTGATTCAGATTACTGTTCCAAGTTCAAACCTTTAAAGGCAAATGAATCCATTCCCACAAACCATTTTCACTTTGTCAGATTAATCCTCCAAGAGCATCTCAAAGCCCCCTCCACCAATTCTTTTCCAAGCACACCTTATAGAAAATCAGATTTCTTCAACCTTCCAGGAGGCCACCTAAACCTCAGCTAACAAACACACAGACTGTGCCTCACACTTCCACTGGCTCCAGTTCAGAAACAAAGTTGTTTTCCTTCCCAATTCTTATCATCCAAGCCCACAATGATGTCCATTATAGAACTTTATAGCTTTTAAAGTGATGAAGTGACAACAAAGAGTATGTTGTGAGAGACTGACAAATTTATCAGCAACAGATGAACAGAGAACGATGTGAATTTTTTAACTTTCCTTTTATTACAGCTGTCACTTGGTGAGACATCCTGCCCGTGCTTTGAGCTGTACATACTTGTGGAAGATCTCTGCTGATAAGCACATACTTTTTATTTACTCAGCGAACTTGATCTTACTTGTTGACTTTCACATTCCTGATTTCTCCTGACATGTTCCTGGGAAATTCAGTAACAATGGTGAAGGAGCACTGAGGCTCTGGTAGCAGCACCCTATTTCAAAAACAAGCCACTGTTTTCTTTTGCTTCACTAGAAGAGTGAAAGACAAATCTCCCTTCCCAAAACCACCAATTTCTGTTGTGCTGCACTGCAGAGTCAAAGACTTAAAGACAGTTAAGAAAAACCCTTTGGGCCAGAACCATCAGGACACTCCCAAAACTCAGACCCACTCAGAAATGTTCCCCAAGTAGTTTTAAAATCCTGACTGAAAGAACACTCTGAAATAATGAAACTGGCTTTTGCCATTATTTTTTAATCCATTTATTCCCCTAAACCAAGGGCTGGCCCAACTGAAGGCATTGTGGAATGAGCAGTTGGGTCTGCAGGAATTCCAACATTTTTCAGTGCAGGCCTTTGCCTTCTCTTATCTCTCTGCTACTGCTCTGTTTGGAACAACTCTTTTTCTTTCTTTTTACCTGGCTCCACAGTTCCCTTCTTTCTTGCTGCCAATATATTCTGGGTTTCCTGTAGTTCCAGAGGCATCTTCCCTCCACACCTTCCTGGGATTGCTGCCATTTCTTTCTCCTGTTAAATTCACCCCTCCTCTAACACCACTCAAAGAGCTGCACAGCACCATGGCCTACACCAAAAGTTCACTTTTGTGTAGCATATTTTGTGGGTTTTTATCTGCTTCTTCTCCTATTACCTTGCAATCCCTCTAAAATTGCTTGCCAAGCTGAGCAAGAACTCCAGTAAAACCAGGTGAGTGACACCTGCAAATATATCCAGGGAAAATCGGATTCCTTTCTATTCCAACCCATCAGAGGAATCTGCACAGGGCTACCAAACAGCAATAACTCAACCTTTTAGTGATCCATTAGGGACATAAATCAATCCATGGCTGATTAATTCTGATGCTTGAATAGCACATAATGCTCCCTAACTCTTGGAATTTGCAGACTCATTAATTAAACACTTACTAGCTGCAGAGCATTTTGTATACTCAATTTATATCTGCAAATCCCAAGACACTCCTTGCAAGAGACATGATGGAGCGGGAAGAAGACATCTAAGAGGAAAAATACCCAGAAATGTCAGGTTTCCTTAGCTGAGGACATACAGCAAGTCCTGCACTCCTTGAAACTGGAGCAGGCAGCAAAAACTCCCTCAGCAAATTCTGAGGTACCCCCAGCTTAGTCATGTTTAATGTTTTCCATTTTAAATTTCTAACATAGTGTCCAAAAAGAAGAAATCAGAGCTGCACCCTGAAGGACTTTCAGATTCCTGATAATGCATGATCCTGACCTATCAAACAACAAAAATCTCCATCTGTGCCAATGAGAAGTTCAGTATTTATTACAGTGCACACTGACAGAACCACATTAAAGCACAACTTATGGCCTTAATGCAGAAATCACTGAGAGCAACTCCATAGCTGTGCTATTCAGGAGGCAAGACTAGATTATGATAATAGACATCTTGGCCTTAGAATTTATGAAGCTATGAATAGAAATGAGAATATGATTTACAGACCAGGCTTTTTCTAAAGTTTGTCACACATGGATGGCAGGAGTGGAAACACAATCCCCTCGCTCACCAAGAACCCCAGAGAGGGCCCAATTGCTATGTGGAAACTCTTATCTTGGTATTTTAACAAGTTTTACTGAGTGCTCAGCTCATGAAAACAGGCTGGGTACGTAAAGCTGAGTTTGATTCAGATTTTACATGTACTGGAGATTATTTGACAAAAGTGCTGCAACACTCCAATAAAAAGGCAGAGAGAACCAATCAAGCCCAGTGAGCCTCCACATTCTGAACTCTAATCAACATTAAATATTGCCTCAAGTCACTCACAGCTTTGCTGGATTCCTCATCAGCCAAGCTTTTCATGACAACTTCCAAGCTCGGGTCTTCCTCACCACCTGCAGGTTCGGTGCCACTGTGGTCCTGGAGAAAGGATTGACAACAGCTTATAAACAGAGCTCTGGGCCCTAGAACAGCTAAACAGAAAAACTGAACAGTTTTACCCTTTTTTGTTGTATTTTTTAGACAAGGAGCAGCATGACAAGGTAGAAAGATCCACAACTGAAGCTTCCCAATGGGCAAATGAGGGATGGAAGTCGGGGAAGGCAGACCTTGGTCCCACTTGGCTGACAAAAAGCACCACAAGATATTCCCAAAGCTGCCCTTAGGGGCAGCTCTGAAGGCCACACTAACCCCTGCCAGCTGTGAACGCTGTGCACTTGGTATGGAGAGCTTTTCTCCACGCCTCAGCACGTTAAAGGAGCCCCAGTTTCCACCACACAGCCTGAGCAGCTTGGGAAAACCATGGAATGGTTTGGGTGGGAAGGGAGCTTAAAGCCCATCCAGTGCCACCCTTGGATCCTTCTCCTCTCCAGGTGAATTCCAGCTCTCCCAGCCTGGCTCCAGCCCCGTGGCCTCCCCTGGACTCTTCAGGCCCAGAAACAAAACTATTTCTGAATTTTCATTAGGCATTTTACATTTAAGTAAATGTGAACTCAAATGTCTCGGCCACCACTGGAGAGGACAAAGCACCTCTGTTCACTGTTGCAAAAAAATACCACATTCTGTGGCTTTCTGGTGATTGAAACTTCTAAAAACATACTTTACAGCAATTAATATTTAATAGACTCTGTTTCTGGTGGCTTGCCCACAGTATCACAGCACAACACAAGACCCTGATTTAAGGTGTATTTACTGTTTATCACTTCTCATATAACACAGACAAAGACATAAGATGCAGATAAAGAGATAAGATAAAGATCAAGAGATGAGCTGAAGAAAACTAACACAGTAATCCATGGTAACTATGGCACCCTGATATTCCATTCCACAGCCAGGCTGTTTAATGTGATCTGACAAGTTACATGTAGGGTGCATGTAAGACACAATGTTAAATATTTATGTGGTATTTCAAAGATATTTGAAGATATCATTTCAAGATATAAGGCTATTTTTTCTTTATTTAAAGAGAGGAAGAGCTGCCAAAGAAAGCAATGTAAACTTCTGTATAACATCACCATATTTGGTTGTGTTGATTTTATATAATAAAAAGATACCAGCTAGAAGTAAAAACCCGTATTTACTTATAAAACAAACATAATGTAAATAGTCAGAACTTGCCATTAATGCATGAAACTCAACCCACAAGCATCTACCTCTACAGGCAAACAGAGACACACTTGGGTAAGAATCTAATTACAGCCAGTCGACCAGAATGTGCCTAAACAAAGCTTTGTGCTTCCTCCTGAAGGCACAAGTATTAAACAAAGCTGGGAATAAATGCAGGTATTAAAGATAAAATGAGCTCTGTGAATTGTTGAGTAATTTATAAAGCACCAGCTGCACCTGGGATGTGCTGCTGGTGCGGAGGAGAGAAGGAAAAGCCAAAGCTTTGTCCAAAAACAACTGAGATCCAAACAAAACATGAGCAGTTCTTGCTCTGTGCAGCACCAGGCCTGCAAGGAGCAGCCAGCAGAGGTAAGAGAAGGTGGAAAACAACAGCAAGAGGGCAAACAGGAGATGGATGCATCCAGCCTTACCTCCCGTGGCCCCTGCTGAGGGATCCCAGCCACGCTCCTGGAAATACCAGGAGTTCAATGCACATGGATTTATTGAGGCAAGACCAAACCCCAATTGAATTACAAAACATCTTTTGCTTTATTAGCTCAGATAGAAATAGAATTAAAAAGCAGCAGCGAGGCTAACCATGTAGTTTATCTAGAAAATTTAGTTACACCGCATTGAGATGTCAAAATGATAACGAGTGTGGTCACTGCAGGGATTCCTGGTGCACAGGGGAGCAGTCAGTCTGCACTGGGGCTGAGGGAGCAGCAAAAATCACAGAAAACACTGGCAACACCACCACACCGAGACTGCTTTTGCATTTAGGATTACCCCAGGCAGAACTGCCTCAGCACAACCAGCTGAAAGAGGAGCAGGACAAGGTTTAAACTTGGCAAGGTTTTAGTTTGGAGCCTCCTCTTCCTCCTGTACAGCAGTGCCCTGTTTAAGAGCTGCTGTTAATGCCACGCAGGTCTGTCAGGAACAACCAGATCAATAAAAAAGAGACAGGGCAAAATAAGCCTATTAGGCCAAGTCTCTACCCAACACATTTTACGACCCCGGGTTTAATTACACAAGGTGCTCAAACTTATCAGGAGCTGCTAATTATGATTAATCTATCCAATTCAGCAGTCTCTAATTAAAAACAACAGCCCACAAACCTTACCTCAATGGCAGAGTGGGAGCCTGAAGGCAGTGGGAAGGGAGTGACAGCCATCTGGTTGACTGCATCTTCACTTCTGCACAACAAAACAAAACAAAAGCACCACATTACACACCAAACCAGGGTGGGCAAACTTCTCCTTGGAGTTGGTTCTGCCCATTAAAAAAACACCCTCAACACCAAGACAACTCTTTTTGTCATTTTTGCTCTGGTTCTTTGCTCCCCAACAGATCCCATCCCTCATCTGGGACACACTGACATCCTGTCCTTGGAAATCCAATTTTGTGTGGATTATCAGAGGATGCAGTTGCATTTTATGGTCCCCACACATCCAAAGATGAGCTCATACTCAGCCTCTTTTAATGGTCTCTACATCTGTAAACTGCTTGTTTATAGTTTCACATTCACGTTACTGAAATACCTGTTTTAATGTAACAGATTGCTTTTTCTTTTTTTTTTGTTCATTTTTGCTGCAGTCTTTTCAATGTAAAAACTTGGAAAAGATTTTATAAAATGCAGGGAGAAGAGGAGATGAACACTGATTCTCCCTACATATAAAGTGAGTTGTTTTTCCAAAATGCTTATGATGTATGGCATCTTTTTCTCTCTCTTTAAAATGCCTCTGAAGTTGACATCTGATTAATTTGTTTTTTGTATTTAACAGCATTCTGCCTTGCTGATGTTTTTCCTCAACTGCCATTTAAACTGATTTGTTTTCTGGAATTAGCTCTGTGTTTTTTTGGCCTCTGTAAAACGAAGCCAGGTAACAGATGACTTCAGTGATATCATTTAAGGCAAATCATCACAGAATCACAGAATTTGGGTGGTTTGGGTGGGAAGGGACTTTAAAACTCATCCAGTGCCACCCCTAACAAGGCAGGGACACCTTCCACTGTCCCAGGGGGCTCCAGCCTGGCCTTGGGCACTGCCAGGGACCCAGGGGCAGCCCCAGCTGCTTTGGGTATCTATGCCAGGGCCTGCCCACCCTCACAGGGAGGAATTTCTTCCCAAAATTCAACCCAAATCTACCCCAGGCAGGTTACAGCCATTCCCCCCTGTCCTCTCAGCCTTTTCACAAAGTCCCTTCTCCAGCCTTTTTGCAGGAGGGATCTGTGATGCTGCTGCTGCTCCACAGGTACAGCTCTTAGATGAAGGGAAGTGACTTCTCCTGGCTCTTCCAGGTTTGATTTTCTCTCTACTACACTCCATGTTACTGTGACATGAGCAGAATCTCCTCCTCTTTAATTTCTGCAATAAACTATTAGACTATTTTGTGTTTTAAACACATTTTATGGAAGTGCCTGAAAGAAAAAAAGTCTCATTTCCCCCCTGAAGGGTTAAAAGACATGGAGCTAGCGTGTTCTGATCACTGAGAAATAACTCTGTGAATCAGCAGCTCCGAGCACAGCAGCAGTGGGAGTCACAGGCATCTGAAATGATAAATCCTGCAGGCAAAGGTTGGGGAATTCATTTCCTTATCTGCAAGCTCACAGGCACAGCATCCAGAGGGGCTGGCTGGGTGCTCCCAGAGCTGTCCTGGCTGCAGCCTCTGCTCCCAGAGCCCTGCAGGAGGGAGAGCCCAGCCTGGGACAGGCACCCAGCCCTGGATTCCATCAGCATTTCACAGCTCCCAAGCGCATCTCACCCACAGGGCATATTGGGCAAGGATGTTTTCCCTGCTCTTATCTTGGTGAGACATCATTCTCCATATGGTTGGTGCTTTTCTAACCCACAGGAGTAAATCACCCTGTGATTTTGTGATTTTGCCTTGACTGCAGAGCTTTTCCTGACAATAGTTTATGTGAAGTGCAATCAGCATGAAAACCAACCCCACTCTGCAGCTCACAGTGCAGGCTGCATGCTGTGCAATTAGGGGCAAACATGGAAATAAAGATATATAGATACAGATATACAAATAAAAAGAATATACATAAAATATATTAAATTATATATTAGAATATAAGTAGAAAAAACATAAAATTATTAAATCATATAATTATAGAAAATTATATAAATTAAGAAAAAAAGATATATAAAGAATAAATATAATACATATTGTACATATTCTATATTTAAAATATAAATAAATATATAAATATATTTTTATAGATATATATTTATATATTTAATATAAATAAATAAGTAAATAAATACATTGTTATATAAATTGTTGTATATAATGTTTATATATAACATTATATATATAATTACATTGTTTATATATATATATATTACATTATATATATAATTTTTTAATATTTTGTAAGAAGTACCCTAAAAATTGCTAAACACAATCTTCATGACAAACTGGGGTGTCATTAATTATCCAAACTAGTTTTCACTTCATACACAAACACCTTTGTGTTTTTTTACACCAGTGGGGAAAAATATCTTTATGCAGCTTTAAGTGGATGGCCATTTTTATTCCAAGCAATAAAAAAACACTTATGTTAATATCCCTGGGAAAACAAAAAGCAAAAATATAAAAACCCCCAAGGTTACACAGTGTCACAACTTGTAATCTCCCCCTGCTAGGACTCGTACATATTTAAATACTTTAATGCTGCTTCAAAGGAGAATGCTTCAAAGCAGAATCAAAGTCGGAATATATTTTAAAGTGACAGATCTAATAAGAAATTGCTGTTTCTGCTCTCCACTTCCACAAGTGTCCTCAACTAAAATGTGAATTTATTTACGACTAAAAGGAGCAATCATTTTCTTTTGATGCAGGGGCAGACATCTCGGAAATTCTGAACATCACATTCAAATTACAGTGACTGCAGATGAGCATTCCACATATTTGCCAATGGTTGCTCCAGAACCACCTCCAAAAAAGCTGCTCCCAGTTGCTGCTGCTCAATCCTGCTTGGGGCTAAGGTGTCTAAACCTTCACACTCAAGAGAAAGGTTTCATTCCTTACTACATTTTACTTCTTTCCAGTCTAAACAGGGCGCCTGGACGTTCCTCATCCTGTCTTGTAGATCAAAAAAATAAAACTCCTCATGTTCTGCTCCATCTGCACCTTTGCAGCTTAAGCCAAGGCAAATAGAATTGTTACTGACTTAAATAACACAGAAACTGGGTACAAAAGAAGCCTGAAGAGAGCCTCACAAAAAGATAAATCCAAAGGGAGTATCCAGGAAGGTGCAGGAAGGAATGAAGGGAAGCTGAAGTTGGGTGCTGAAAATGTGTATGTAAATAATATTGTAAAAATGCAATAATAGTGAAAATAAATGTAGAACAAGGGAAAAAATGTTTCCTCCATAAGGTGACACCAGAACATAAAGTCTTGCAGATTATTGAAAGTTTATAAATGAATATGCAAATAATAGTGTAAATAAATGCAAAAATAGTGAAAATAAATGAAGAACAAGAGAATAAAGGTTTCCTCAGCAAGGTGACACCAGGACATAAAGTCTTTCAGACTGCTGAAAGCTTTTAAATGTATATGTAAATAATAGTGTAAGTAAATGGAATAATACTGTAAAATGTAATAGTCTAAATGCAGAACAAGTGAATAAATGTTTCCTCTGCAAAGTGACACCAGGACATGAAGTCTTGCAGATTATTGAAACTTTATAAATGTATGTGCAAATAATAGTGTAAATAAATGCAAAAATAGTG